CCAATTTATGAGCTCGAAACTTCTCCCCAGCAATGTCAAATTCGACATCCGAGCCTTCCAAAGTATCCAGCAAATTTCCAAAATCTGATCCAAGTTCTGAATCAGGGACATGTATAGAGTGTAACCGCGGACAGTGTATTTCCGAAGAAACAACTCCAATTGTACAATTGATTATCAAACAATCGTCTTTAAGGTAGTCAGATGTCTCAAGCAACGAACGTCTGAAGAAACGCTTGTATCCCCTATTCAAAATCCAAACAATAGAATCAAGAATTAGAGAGCTCTAAGGTAGCAGTACAAAAGATAACAGCAAAAAGAGTGTCTAAAAAATTAATCAGCCATTGAAGATACTGTAAACACTCAAAGCTGACGCCACCACACTAAAAATGAAATTTCAGTAAAGCACCTTAACAAGGTTATCTTAACAAAACTATGAAAGTTCAGGTAGCTAGCACACCTTAGAATTTATAGATTTACCATTAGAACCACCCAAACCCTATTCTTGTCCCCAATAATTTACACATATTCAAGATCAGAAATCGAACAAGAGACTAACATTATAAACTAGCAAGTCAAAAACTTTATCGAACCGAGTATAATATCTGAATTCGTCAAAACTGTATTAACATGAACTATCATGCACACATTGACAAACAGAGTTCATCTTCATGATTAGAAATGGAGAAAGAGACCAACATTATAAAACGAGCAAGTCGAACACTTTATCGAAACGAGTATAATACCTGAATTCTTCAAAACTGTATTAACATGAACTATCATCCACACATTGACAAACAGAGTTCATCTTCATGATTAGAAATCGAACAAGAGACCAACATTATAAACGAGCAAGTCAAAAACTTTATCGAACCGAGTATAATATCTGAATTCGTCAAAACTGTATTAACATGAACTATCATCCACTCATTGACAAACAAAGTTCATCTTCATGATTAAAAATCCAACAAGAGACCAACATTTTAAAACGAGCAAGTCGAAGACTTTATCGAACCGAGTATAATAGCTGAATTCTTCAAAACTGTATTAACATGACCTATCATGCACACATTGACAAACAGAGTTCATCTTCATGATTAAAAATCGAACAAGAGACCAACAATATAAAACGAGCAAGTCTTAAACTTTATCGAACCGAGTATAATATCTGAATTCGTCAAAACTGTATTAACATGAACTATCATCCACTCATTGACAAACAAAGTTCATCTTCATGATTAAAAATCCAACAAGAGACCAACATTTTAAAACGAGCAAGTCGAAGACTTTATCGAACCGAGTATAATAGCTGAATTCTTCAAAACTGTATTAACATGACCTATCATCCACACATTGACAAACAGAGTTCATCTTCATGATTAAAAATCGAACAAGAGACCAACAATATAAAACGAGCAAGTCTTAAACTTTATCGAACCGAGTATAATATCTGAATTCGTCAAAACTGTATTAACATGAACTATCATCCACTCATTGACAAACAAAGTTCATCTTCATGATTAAAAATCCAACAAGAGACCAACATTTTAAAACGAGCAAGTCGAAGACTTTATCGAACCGAGTATAATAGCTGAATTCTTCAAAACTGTATTAACATGACCTATCATCCACACATTGACAAACAGAGTTCATCTTCATGATTAAAAATCGAACAAGAGACCAACATTATAAAACGAGCAAGTCGAAAACTTTATCGAACCGAGTATTATATCTAAGTTCGTCAAAACTGTATTAACATGAAACATCATGCACACATTGACAAACAGAGTTCATCTTCATGATTAGAAATGGAGCAAGAGACCAACATTATACATGAGCAAGTCAAAAACTTTATCGAACCGAGTGTAATAGCTGAATTCGTCAAAACTGTATTAACATGAAACATCATGCACACATTGACAAACAGAGTTCAAACTTAGACTCTGCCTAACAGTACACAGCTGAGATGACAAGAGTAACATTTTAAAAACAATTCAAATTCAACAACCCTGCATCAAGAATCAAGAATCAAGAATCAAGATCAAGAATCAAGCCATACCACATACTTCCTTTATATTTAAGCGTATAAGGACCACCATCAAGCGAACGATCGAAATGGCTATGAACTTTATGATTCCCTTTACCACTTTGATCAACAAGGGCAAGCTCAAAAAGCGCTCTAACTTCAGTACCATCACTAGCGAGAGCGACGAACACAGAGACGTAAGAAGAGCTATCCTCTGAGTTTTTACCATCTGGGTAGACAAAGATTGTCCATTTATAACCTCCGACGGAGAAGCTATCACTCGCTACGTGTTTCCCAACTCCAATCCCTTTTGCTAAACTGTATCCTTGAATCACGAATTGGTGCGATCCGTTTAGGGTTTGTGTCACTGACCTTGAGGTTGTTGTTTGTGATTCGATTCTATCTGGGTTCGTGTTGGAGCTTGATGATCTGCTTGGTCTGGTCATTTGCCTTGTTGGGTTTTTCGAATTTTGGGGAAAGTTGTGAAATTTCAGAGAATTTTAAATCGTCGGAGGAGGAAAGGAGGAGAAGAGGAAGATGATAAGTCGGTAGGAGAAGGGTATAATGGTCATTGTACAAAAGAAAGACCCAATTTTTAAGTTTTTAGGGATTTGAATCTTGTTCATCAGTGTGTGAATAGAGATACTCAGATTCGAGTTCAAGTTCAATGGATGATGTCTCTTTACCAATTGATAAATTATCCATTGATTCAAAGACTGAGTAATAAATTTCGTAGCTTTGATTTTTGTTTCTTCTGATTTTGTGTGTTTGATCTGCTTGGGATGTCTGAATTTATTTTATTCGATTGGTTTTGTCTGAATCAGGGACAAGGCTTGTCTAGTAGTGCTAGTGGCGACTGGGAGTTTCAATCCTCCTACTTTTATGCATCTACGCATGTTTGGTGAGTTCTTACCATATGGCAATGATCTGTGGTTATTGTCTGAATTAGCTTTGTATATAACTTAGAGGTTTGTTCTCATGTATTTGTTTTTTTCTGTCTTTTTCGAGTCTTTAGAGCTTGCGAGAGATGCATTACACTCGGAAGGATTTCATGTTCTTGGAGGTTATATGTCTCCTGTTAATGATGCATACAAGAAGAAGGTATGATAACTTTCTTAGTTTTTTTTCTAAACCAATGCTAAAGTTCTTATGCTTACTTTTGTGTTTAATTTCATTTAGAAACTATAATATCATTTGCGTAGGATCTTTTATCTGCAAAACATCGTTTAGAGATGTGTAATCTAGCTTGTCAAAGCTCTGACTTTGTAATGGTTGATCTATGGGAGGTACTTTGTCTCATCCCTCGAAAAGTTTTTAATTAGTTCTCTTTAGAGGAGGAACAAAGCGTTGTTTACAGAACTTTTGGAAACTGTTTTCTACAGGCATCTCAAAGCAGCTATCAACGAACTTTGGCGGTTTTATCAAGGGTCAAGACTTATTTAACAATAGATCAACATGTACCCGAGGGTAAGACAAAAATATGTGGGCTTTTAGCATCTTCTATAGTATATCTCAGTTACATTTTTTGGATAATTGCGCGATCATCTCAATGGGGTTGTTTGCTATGTTTTGTGACAAACTCAAATTTATAATATGAGCTTTCTAATGCTAGAATCTCTCAAAGTTATGCTACTATGTGGCTCGGATTTACTGCAATCTTTCTGTACTCCCGGTGTTTGGATCCCTGAACAGGTAAATTAATGATTTTATAACCAAGACAACATTGTTATGTAAATGGCGATTTGTTTTATCAATTCTACTCACAGTTATGCTTTTTTCATTTTTGGGAATTTGAAGGTAAGAACTATTTGTCAAGACTATGGCATTGTGTGCATCCGTAGAGAAGGACAAGATGCTGAGAATATGATCTCTAGTGACAAAATCTTAAACGAAAGTAGTGTAAGTTTTACCGAGTTTTGATTTTTTTGTATTCCCCTGTATCAATCAGTCATATCAGTCTGATACGGTTTATTTTGTAGGATAATATCAGAATCGTCGACAATCTTGTTCCTAATCAGATTAGTTCGAGTAGATTAAGGTAGCGTGAGGTTCAATCTTTCGCGATAACATATCATTTACGCTAAAAATGGTTTCTCTTGCTTAATACTCTGCTTCTTTCAGGCAATGCATTTCGCGAGGGTTATCGGTTAAATACTTGACTGAAGATGGAGTAATAGATTATATCAGACAACATCAACTTTACACTGAGCTCACATGACAAAAGCTGAGAGAATATTACTCTATCATATCAATATTACTACACAACCCATCAAATAAATGTGATAAACAGATGTAATCAGGTCAGATACATTTGTTGAATCATTGTATTTTAAGAATCATATTTACAGATAATGTTGAATCATATAATTGTGTGTTAGTGAGACTGATTGATTAATCTCTTCGCATATGTTTGGAAAAGTAGTGACTGTGGTGCTTTTTTTATCGCTGTAATCATTTGATTAAGCTATTGGTATGTTTTTGAACAAAAGTAGTGACTGTGGTTTTTCATACCTGTGATTATAATATTCTAGGTGTTTTAAAAGTAGTGTGTAATGCAGTTGAAGGTAGAAGAAACATAGAATCAGTCTTGGCCAAGTCCCTTTTCGAATCAGTCTCATCGGAAAAGTTTCCGGGCTGTCTTTTTCTACACAATTTAAAGAATCTTGTGATGGAACATTCTGTGGCATTTCACCATGGGAATATTCATTATCTCCCCAATGCTTTTAGTTTTAAACATTCCTGCATTAGTGTAGTTTGTGAACTTTCTCTAGTAGTTTGATATTGTTTACCGATTTCAGTTATCCTGCTAAGCTGTTTGTGTTGGAAAGTCTATAGCTTGGCTCTATATGTGTGACGCCTTGCATATTCGTGATTCTAACATTTTCATTTTTTAACTTAACAGTATAGCAGCACCTTTAAAGTTTGATACTCCCTCACCAATGAGGCAATGACATTACATCCTTGATAACCGGTCCAAAAGGTATCTAGTCCTTTCTTTATTTGTCTTCATCAGCGTGGCTTTGACTATATGGATTGGTCGGATAGATGATAGATCTGAATTGGATGCTCGGCTCTTGTCAATCTTGTTGAGAAAGTTTGCTTTTTAGCGGTTTGCGCAATCTTGAGACAGTGTGTAGAAAAGAACAAATGTTCCGGTGGCTAGGAATGATGATATGATATTTTGACCAAAAGAGAAGTATTTGAATGCTGTCTTATGTAGTTCTATGTTTCGATTTTGTCAAAATCTAGTTGTATGTGGTAGATTCATAACTTCTTCTATGGTTTGTTGACTTGTTTAGAAAATGAAATTTGTAGTTCAAGTGAAAAAGCGTTCATATATACACCTTGTTGATATGCTGTTTCGACATGGTACAATCAATGGATGCGAAATTGATCTTGTAGAGTTGATGATCTCTCTTTGTCTGAGTTAGTCTTTGTGAGTGAAGACTCTGCAACATTCTCTGTTTCTGTGATTATCCTCATTTCCTTATGAAAACATATGATTCTTGACAACTCAGACCAAAGTAGCTACTGTAGAGGATTCACTTTTTTGATGCCAAAGTAGCTACTGCATAGTCATATCGATTTTTTTGTCCTAGTGACGCCGGGAAGCACAAACGTGCGCTGCAACATCTTTAGATGAAATCTCATTTAAGAAATGTTCAAGACACTGCAAGATCTATGACCAATCTTCTCAAAATGTTGTGTCTTATGTTTCCCATATCGCCTGTTAAGTATCAGCTTGAGCTTAGATGACTAGATAAGTTGTAAATGTGACTTCTGTAATTAGTAATGAAAACATTCAATACATTATTGTAACACTGACCAAAACATATATTAGATTTGAAGCATGAAACATTAAGGAAGAGTTTGGTCACATAAGTAAACATAGACATACACATATCACAGAGCACGTGACTCAACAAGTTTTGTAAAACCAAAAGTAACAGCCATAGCTAACCATCCACCAATCAAGACCCTAAGCGACGACTTAACCAATGGTGCTTTCCCCAAAACCGCACCTAACCATCCAAACATCACCAAAGCCAACGTCACCGCAGCCACAATCACACCAATCCTCACTTTATACTCTTTCACAAACGCAGCCGCTAACAAAGGCACAATCCCTCCTAAAGAAAAAGCTAATGCAGACGCTGCAGCCGCTTGTGTCGGGCTAGGAAGCTTATCTTTCTCTCCCTGATCGCCACCTCCGCTCTGATCTCTCTTCATCTGAGCCACTTCAATGTCGTACTGAGAGTAAACAGAGACAAACTCTCATATAGCCATGCTACAAGCTCCAGCTACTAAACCAGCAAAACCTGTCAAGAGCATGATCTTGATGTCTTGCTTGACCGCACCAACACCCATCATAAGTGAAGCTGTCGAGACAAGACCGTCGGTTGCACCAAGAACCGCGGCTCGTAGCCATTGAGCTCGTAGAGTAGTCAAAACCCTTTTCTTGATCATTCTCCATGTCCATGTTCACGTTGTTATGAGACTCGGCCATGGTTATATGAGTAAGAGTAGAGAGTGTGGAGAACACACGTCTTGGATTGTGTTTGTATTTATTGAGAACTTTTAATTATTAATTTTTAAATTTAGTAATATTAATAATTTGAATAACAGAAATACTTATATTTTTAACTATATTGGAAAACAAAAATGTGGACTAGAAAAAATTCACCAGATTCTCTCTTATCTCTGATTTTAATTATATTCAAACTTTTGAAGTTTTTACATCCAAAACAAAAAGGTTCATTAGTCACAAATTTTTTTAAAAAAAAATAACAGTTATTATTCTTTTTCCTAAATTAATATGTATTCTTTTTTTTTAAATAAATATTTTGTATTTAGTTGACTATCCAAATATGTAGTACTAGAATTTATCCCGTGCGTAATTATTTTTTTAATCAAATAATTAATATGTAAATAAATATATAGTAAAATTATATTTCTTTTAAATACTTTATAAATAAGGAAATATTCCTAAAATTAAATGTATTATTATTCTATTTTTATCATCTATATATATAAAGTTAACTTTTTCTCTCTTCTCCTTAAGCCACATCATCATCCACCTCATTTTATTATTTAATTTTTAAAATTAATTATACCATTTTATCATTTAATTTTAATATTTAAACCTATGTAAATAAGTTTTTCCAAAATGAATATGAAATGTCTTTTTGTATATTATACATTATAAAACTAAAAAATATAATTGATTAAGAGTTAAAAAAACTTACTAATTATCGATTATACAAACAAATATATAAATAATAGATTATAGTTTTTAGTGAATGTTTAATATATATATATGATTATATTTACACAATGTAAACCTAAATATAATGGGATTTAACGGGAATAAAACAAAAAGTAAGAAATTTTGAGAATATAAATCTATCTAATTTATGTCTCAAAAAATTTTCTAACATAAGTGAGATAACTACTAATAAAAATTTTCTAACATAACTACAATGGTTACAAATTATCTAATTAAGTAGTAGAATGCCATTCTTACATATATCAGATCTTGTTTCTTTGTAACAAACTCAGATATCGAGTTGAGAGAGACGACGAAACAAAGAAGAAGATAGAAGTAAAATTCTCATTATTATGTAAATGTACAGTATAGTTTGTTTATATACAATCTTAATTACTGCTAACATACGCTGACTGTTAATGCTAACATGAGCTAATATGCTAACATAAACTACTCTGATATGCCCCCTCAAGCCTTTGAAGTTGATTCTGTAGAAGCTGGACAAAGGCTTGATAGTGATAATCGTTCAACCATACTCTGAAAAAGTGCTGGTTGTAATGGTTTGGTGAGAATGTCTGCCAGCTGGTTTTCTCCATCAATATGCATAGCTTTAAGAGTGCCAAGCTTCAATTGGTCACGCACAGTGTGACAGTCAATATCAACATGCTTGGTGCGCTCATGAAAGACTGGATTTGTGGCGATATACACAGCTGACTTGTTGTCGCAGAAGAGCTTGACCGTGTGAGTTACCTGAATCAGAAAATCAGCAAGTAATTGTTGAATCCAAATAACCTCACGAGTTGCATCAGCCATACTTCTATATTCCGCTTCAGTGCTACTCCTGCTTGCAGTTTTCTGTTTCTTAGACTTCCAACAAATCAAGGATGTCCCTAAGAAAACACAATAGCCAGAAACAGAGCGTCTTGTATCCAAACAGGTACCCCAATCAGCATCAGCAAAAGAATTAAGACAAAGGTCTGTTTCTGCTGAATAGAAAAGACCAAGATCATGATATCCTTTGATATACTTCAGGATTCTGAGAGCAGCATGATAATGATCATCTGTTGGAGATTGCAAAAACTGGCTCAGCTTGTTAACCGCAAAAGTGATATCTGGCCTTGTGATGGTCAAATAGAGAAGCCTGCCAATAAGTTCTCTATGTGGAGTTGGATTTTCCAGTCTTGTCCATGTATCCATGGTTAAGTTCTTATATGGATCCATAGGAACAAGACTCGGTTGGCAAGCAAGCAGACATGTATCTTCTAGCAAATCTAAGGCATACTTCCTTTGACACACAAAGATTCCTTTTGATGATCTCGCAATCTCTAGGCCAAGAAAGAAACGAAGTGTACCTAGATCTTTGATCTTGAATGCATTATGAAGTACAGCTTGAAGCGCCTCTAGATCAGCATCATTGTTACTAGCAATTGATATATCATCCACATAAACTAGCAATGCTATGAAACCAGTCTCAGTAAACTTCAAAAACAATGTAGTATCTGATTTTGACTATATGAATCCAGCATTCAGCAAAACAGATGTGAAAGTTGGTTCCATTGCCTAGAAGCTTGCTTTAATCCATATAATGATTTGTGCAATCGACAAACTGCATTTGGAGGTAAAGTAACATTGTTACCTGGAGTATAACCTTGCGGAAGACTCATATATATCTCCTTATCCAAATCACTATGAAGAAAAGCATTTGAGACGTCCATTTGAGTAAGTCGCCATCCTTTCTTTGCTGCCAAACCCAACATAAGCTTAACACTCGTCAGTTTAGCCACAGGAGAAAAAGTTTCAATAAAATCAACTCCTTCTTGTTGAGTAAAGCCTTTTGCAAACCAGTCTGGCTTTGTAACGCTCAATAGTACCATCAGAGTTATACTTGATGGTGAAAACCCATTTGCAGCCAACTATGTTCTTCCCTTGAGGTAAAGAGAATATGCTGAAGGTGTTGTTTCTTTCCATAGCCTGCAACTCCTCATTAAGAGCTCCTTTCCATTTGTCAGATGCCATGGCTTGCTTAAAAGTTTTGGGTTCAGTTTCCATGGAGTATGAAAGAATGTAAGAACATAAAATGGGATGGAATTTGTTGTATGATAGAAAGTCAGAAAGAGGGTAAGGGGTGGTGTGTTTGGGTGGTAAAGGTGGAGAAATTTGTGCTAAAGCACAGTGATACTCAGAAAGATAACTAGGTGCCCTCGTCTGTCGCCGTGATCTCCCACTAGGCAAAGAAATATTAGTAGTTCCGGGTAGTACAGTATCGCTAGTATTAGTAACAGTCCTAGAATCCCCATTCACTAATGATGATGATAACCGATTATCAGATGCAATAGGAGAACTAGGAACTAATGCAGGTGTACTAGCAGAATGTGTAGGAGATGAAACAGGAGCATGTTCATTAGAATCATATATGTAAGGCACAGAACAAGGTAAAACAATATGGGAAAATAAATCATTAGGAACATATGTTTTATCTTTGAAAGGGAAAATGTTTTCATGAAAGATTACATTTCTGGATATAGAAACAGTATTATCATCAATATTCAGTATCTTAAAACCTTTATAACCACTAGGATAACCTAAGAAAACACTAGCCTGAGCCCTAGGAGTAAATTTATTCCTATCCTTTTGTAGAGTACTAACATAGCATAAACATCGAAAAGATTTCAAAGAAGTGTAATCTGGAACTTTATGCATCAGAATTTCATATGGTGATTTATTATTTAGTAAAGGGGAAGGAAGCCGATTGATTAAAAATACAGCAGTAAGAACACAATCAGACCAATAGACCAAAGGGATGTTTGATTGGAAAAGTAAAGCTCTAGCAACATTTAATAGATGTTGATGTTTTCTCTCAACGACAGAATTTTGTTGAGGTGTATAAGCACAAGAAAAATAATGCAGCATACCATGTTCTTTAAGTAAATTTGTAAAATTCAATTCAGGTGCATTATCACTTCTTATAGCTTGAATCTTACACTTGTATTGAGTAAAAATCATTTTTTATAAAATCTGGAAAAAATTTTGACACTTCACTTTTCTGTTTCAACATATAGACCCAAGTGACTCTAGTACAATCATCAACTATGGTAAGAAAATATTTATAACCAGCAACAGACTCTATAGAAAAAGGACCCCATATATCTATATGAACTAACTGAAAAGGACTAGAAGACATATTATTCTGAAATGGAAAAAGACAACCGTTTCTGTTTAGCTAAAGGACAGACCTGACAATGTTCAGTAGCAGAGATAGTAGATTTAGACAAAGAAAGAGTACCAGATAAAGCTTGTAACTTGGCAGGTGAAGGATGTCCAAGGCGCTGGTGCCAGAGATTTCCATCAACTGACAAGGATCCACAGAAATGAGCATGCTGAGATGAAGTGGATGTAGTCGAACTATGAAGAGAATCGAGATCAAGTATGTAAAGATTATGCAGCAGTTTACACTTCCCATTCATCGAGTCCAGAGTAGACCCCTGAATAATACCAAATGTTGGATAAAAATGAGCAGAGTTCTGATTATCACGCAACATGCTACTAA